AGATGAAATAAGATAATTATATCGATTGGCTTAATTTTGAAGAAATATTTTCGTATCGATGATCTATCGATGCATGGGCGTAATCATTAATTGATATTCTTTCTATTGTTATATTTAAATATATCGTTATTCGAGGCTCTAAAATTTCTATATTATGATCGGATATGAAATGAAAATATATGAATAATAAATATATAGATTGTATAATATGTATTAATTGATATATTAAAAATATGAATATATTATGCAATTAAAATTTCAAGAAAATATATTTGATTTAAAGAATTATGGATAAATAAAAATATATATAAACATATTTATTAATATTCAAACAAATAGATAGATATTATATCTAATATATTAATTTAAATAAATATTATATATATATGGTAAATTGAGGTTCGATGGAATATTTTTATCGAATTTGATGGATTCGTAATTCAAACATCTTGTATTAAATGCATCGATACATATTTATATTTGGATATCTAAGTTCGCCCATTCATTACTTAGATTCGTATTTGACGTAGGATTCCAGGCAAGAGACCACGTGGGACCGCATCCAATGGAATCCCCAGGAATGGCCGGGGACCAACACATAGATCCTCTGCATCCTCGGCCTTGACGCCGAATGGAGACAGAGACAAGGATTTGTTGAGGATGTTGGCCCAGCTTTCATTCCGGCAATCAGATGTATTGGTTCTGCAATGCGGTCGAGACAATATCATGCCGAATATGTTTGCCAAAACCTGGGAGTGGAGTAACCACAAGCAAAGTGGCGACGTCTCCATATCCCTTCGGATCACCATGTTCCTCCGTTGCTTTCAAAAGTTGGCTCAGAGGGCAAGAAAATTACAACTGGAGGCGAAAGACGATGCCTTGATACAGAATCTTCGTTCCAAAGGCATCCTGGCCGAGGACAACAAATAGACATAGTTTATATGGGATGTTCAGGCCCAGATGCTGAAAGCCAACAAGAAGACACCACTGTTGGCCTCCGACGAGATTCGAGGACTATTGGAACGCATTATCCATCTTGGACAACAACAATCGGTGGAAGACGCTGGTTGGATACATCCTGGGTTTGCCACCATGGCAAGATCTGTTCTCCCAAAACAACATGATCTGTCAAGGTCAGTGATTGTATCCCCCAGACCTGCAGCATTGAGATCAAATGCTGGGTCCATGTTCCCCACATGGATATTGAAAATCCATCCCACATTAGGCAGGCCCCCAACTGAGCGCGAAGCACGCTAACAATGTAACAATGATTCCCAGGGTTGGCCCAGACCTAATTTACCAAGGTTCGAATCATTTCCGCAACTTCTGAACGAATCATTTCCGCAACTTCTGAACTATGGCGTTTGCCCATGGGTTCCTCTATAGGCCGGTGGGCCGGTGACGCATACCCACCAACTAGGTCAATCCGTTGCCGCATAACCAGCATAACCAAATTGGAAAATTCCGAGCTTTCGGGTATCCTAACAGAAACATCCAAACGCCATAACATATAAATCTATTAATCGTCCGGAAATTCTTTAGGCATTAATTTCATATCCGCAAATGTATAAATAAAGTAAATTTAAATGAATAATTAAATCATCCGTTAAAGCATTTCGTACAACTATATATAAAGTTCAAAAAATTCTATTTAGTAGGCTTAATACACTTAAAATTCCAATTCCATCCAAAAATTTAACGTATCCTCAATCCCTTAATCAAAACGTCTTCTAATGCATCGAATTTAAGAAGAATAATTCGTTTCAAAACCTCCTCCTTCAAAATGCGAAATAAAACCTCCTCCTTCAAAAGCTCTCAAGGGTTACTAAACACCATCTCCTTATTTCTACATATACCAATCCTTAAAGACCTCTAAAAAAAATAACATCAAATTATCCTATCCATATTATAAGAATATTATAAAAATCCTATCCATTATCAATTCATTCAATTAATCCTCCTGTCGAAAGCAAAGGCGAACAAACATAATTATAAATTCATTCCATTCCAAATTTAAAAAAATTAAGTCAATTAATTTTTGTGTTTATAAAAAATATATTCAATATAAAATATAAAACCAAAAATATATAAAATATCCTAACCTCCCAACAACAAAATATCCAACATAACATAAATTCTCAATACATAAAAAATATCAACTTGAGCGGGGAAACACGAAAGGTAGAGACGGACCGAGTAACTGTCGGGACCTTTTCTAGTGAGGGACTGTTTCCGGTGTTTCAGGAACGTGCCCCTTGGTCAATCATGGATAAAACCAACAAAGCCAGATAATACAAGAAGGCATAAGAAGGCTCAAGAAGAACTCCGTTGCGGTCAAATTGCGCCACACGGGTCTGGAGAAAGGCTACGTTATGTCGACGCTCGTTTGTGTCTAAATGTGTGAAAACAGGCGTGCGTAAAAATCGCAATGCGTAAACGCTCGCATGTATACCAGCCATAATCCCACAGCTGCACGCAGGCCTGCACGCGTTGCGTCGAAGCCGCAATAACTCAATGACCAACCCCCTTATAAAGATAGTGTTGGAGGGGTGCGGTCGGTATTGCCAAGAATGGACGTTACCCCCCACGATGCGGTAAGATTTCGCCACGCTAGGGTATAAGGCAGAGTCGAATGCTGTTCCGCGACGCGAGGGATTTTTCCACAAGGCTTTGCAGAGAGGTTGTATTGCATCGATTTAGGGTCGAGCACTATGGTCTGGCAACGCAATACGCGTTGTGTCAGGCTGCCGGATACGTACGCGCGGCATCGAAGTTGCATTATACGATCTCATTGCGCAAGGTTCGTGTTATATTATGCAACCTCATTGCCTGCGTCGTATTGCTGTTAAGCGCATAATTTCACCTTATATCCAGAATTTAATAGTTCTAACGACGAAGGGAAGGGACGAAAAGAGGAAGGGAAAAGAAAAGGATCGAATCAATTCATTTATCAATCATTCATCACATAGGAGAGGGGGGGGGGGGAGATGAGGATATTAGACATTAATCTACCAATCTTTAATCCCGAATAAGCTTTCAAACCAAGCCCTTTGTTTCGCAAAGCAAATTCAAAATAACCCTTACCAAGCTACCTTTCGTAATTATTAACAAATAAATATCTATTTAATATTTAAACACTATAAAAGATAAAATAAACATATAAATCAAACATTATTCAAATAAAAAACACAATACTATATACAAAATGCAGTTTGCAAGAAAACTTCTTTAATATCATATTATATAGTCCTTTTCATTTACCATCCAATAAATCAACATAGAAACCGACAAACCAGGGGACAAAGGACCAGGGGACCACTTTTTTGATCCTGTATCCAAACGCCGCGGAGAAGACGGGGCCCACGGTGCGGCCAAGCATGGAGACCTGGACAAGCCTAGATGAGACCCGGTCGGTCAAGGCGGAGAACCCGGACAAGGCCTGGACAAGGCCCATACAAGGCAGTGAAGAAAGGGCAAATGGCACGGCTATCGTGGCCAGCACTTTTTCCCTTAGAGGCAACAGTAAATTGCTTGGGTTTGAATTACTTGGTTTTAATCTAAATCAACGCAGAAAAGTAGTTTTTTCAATTTATATATTTCAATGAACATGTTTGAATTGATATCTACTTTAAAATGTGCCTTCACTCTTTTTACTCATTATTTGAGTAGATTGGATATGGCCAAAGCAATGACGACAAGTAACAAAGAAGTTACATGATGAGAACTGAATAAACCTATTGAGTGGACTATGGCCAAACGCACATGTGCATTTTGCAAACGTGCATGTCGACCTTTGGACACGTGAAACCCATGCCTTTCTACATTGGATTCACCACTTGTAATGGAACCTTGGCATCTGCATGGGTTGATGGCAGTACATGCGTGAACTCATCCTCTTTTGTACCCCCTTAGACATAGTTCTGCCCTTGCTATTCATATTTAAGAAGCGTCTAGGTCGGACCATGAAGCGATCAACTCTGCAAACGAAACCACACCACTGCGGCGCCACCACTATACCTCTGCTCTGACACCACGCCACAAAGAGCCAGCTCCCAATCAGAGAATCAAAGCTGGTCGCGACGTCTCAAAATTGGCAGGTGAATCAAGCTTGGCCAATTTCTGCGGGGAAAGCACATCTGCACTAGCATCTTTTCACATGTAAACAAAATCATCACAATGTTTTCCCCGAATCCTTTCCTCTCTTTTTTACTGTGTGGCTCGTCCTGGGCGCCAGGCTGACAGGAGAGCACCCGCGCTTTCTGCCTAGGGCGTGCCAAAACTTGACCAGCAGGAAGAATGGTCCTTTTCACAATGAAATCGACATAGTAATTTTTGTCTAGGATTGGCTCTCTCTCTCTCTCTCGAGGCCGTCAGCACCATGAATCAAAAGGCTTCTTTCTGCAACGGACTAATGAAAGTAGATATTTCCCAGGGTCCTTTGTGATCACCAAACTCCTCTAGTTTTGCCTTGCCAAGATGTTCCACAACCCGTTTTGGGGCACGGGTCCCGTCTACAGATCCAAACATCTTGACCCAGAAAAACATGTTTGGCTTCACTAAGTTCAACCATTTGGACATCTTTGCCCATGAAAACGTGCTCTCTCTCTCTGCCAAATCGTAGAACCTCAAAGGAATCATGGAGAAACCGGTGCAGTGATACCTCGCCGCAGCGCTCTTCAATCCAGTAAAAAGGCTCCCGGCCCTGAGTGTGTATGGAGCACTCACCTCAAAGGCCAAGTCCGCTCGGCATGGTCAACATGTCCGGGTTGCGATTGGACTCGAAAATGGCTTTATCCATGCCAACAAATTCCTCACATTCTGAACTACACACATTACAATCATATGATTACACATACCGCGCACCCACCTAGATACTAAAGGTTGGAGTGGCAAACATGTTCGAACTACGCAAAAACGCTCACTGCAAGACTGTGAACAGAATCCTTCACCGCAAGCGAACCATAGGAACTCCATATGATGCCGGTCCATCAACAACATGTTTCTGTCTTCAAAAATAAAACAATGGATTGAAGTGAACGCTTGTGATTCACTGTGGGCCATACGCAGTTGGCAAGCTGCCAAGCAAACTACAGAGTATCAGCTTCCCCTCTGAGGGCTAACACTTCGAGTAGTCAGCTACGCCGCTCACTTAGGACCAATCACAAGGATTCACTCCGCGCACAGCACGTGTGGTTCCCTCATGGCGAAATGGTGTTGCCGAAAGAGTCATACTGAACCTCATCCTCGTCGCCAGTCTCCTCCTCGCTCTCAAATGGAATCTGTCGCTCGCGCTTCTCCTCCTGCGACGCCCGGTGGTCACCACCTCCTACCGTCCTACCGTGCTGCCGTGATAGCTCTCTGATGGTTCCATACCGTGCCATGCAGAGCTAACTAGCTGGGTACTTAATGAAAAGGGTGTTTCAGCCCAAACCCAACTCTGCAACTCTGAGCTGACGAATAGAAACACTCCAGGACTCAGTGGGTGTGCCTCTGAGTATGTCCAAGCACTATTCTTTTTCCCTTGCTCCTGCAACGTCAGCTTCGCGAGCTCCTCTTTCAACAGATCCGCTGCACTGGCTGAAGCAAGCCGAACGTAAATAGAGGATTGTTTGTGTTCAGCCGGAATCCAACATTTCAAGGCGCTACTCTTCTTGACCATCTCTTTAACTTGAAAGAAAAGCGGTTGGGCTTTATTCTTCCAATCGCCAGTCTCCTTCACATTGCGTCCATGCTTGTTAACCTCTGTATGAGTTCCGGCACCACAAACAATCTCCAGCGCCGTCCTCACAGCGTGAATGCACAAGCTCAAAGCTCAAGCTGACTTCCCCCAATCAACGCAAATGAACAAGCTCAAAATTAATAAAGTTGAGGGCACAGTGAAACATCTCACGCTGTAAAAAAAGGCCTCTCTTTCCCATTCCTGGAACCGTTCGAAAAGGAAAAGAGTTGCTGTTGAAGACCGAGCATCTCCTCGCCCAACTTGTTGATTCTGCTCCCAATTTCCTTGAACGCATCCGAGGCACTGTCGAACCTGTGAAGGTCCAACTCCTCACAGAGTCTCCAACGGGGAAGCTGGTCGGGTGTTGCTGGTGGAGTGTCTCACACAGGAAGGCCTACTTAGTAACTTAGGAGCCACATGGAGCCACCAAGTACACATCACCAAACTACTCCATCACAGCCATCGCAGCTGTCCCTCGTTTGGTGAGCTCGAAGCCTGTGGGTGGGCTTGATAGACATGTTGAAATGAAGAAGATTGGTCCAGTGATGTTTGTTATTTTAGGCGGTGTTATATATATATAATATACATGTCTATGCATATATATATATAGGCAAGTTAGCCAGGTAGGTAGCTAGTAGTAGCTGGGTAGCTAGGTAGCTAGTACCTACAAATAAGCTACCAGGATAGCTCACGCACTATTCATGTGGTTTCTAGATTTTGTGGAAAACTGAACTCATATTATATGAGCATATTCCTCTACAAAAATGCTGGGGAAGCCTTCCACCAGTCGACTGGACTGGAAAAGACAAAAGACTCGACCTTGACCGAGTCTCATTCTTCACCGATGTTCAAATGTTGAGGAATAAAAACCTTATAGACCTCATTGTTTGATGAACAAAGGGAAACACATCTGGTAGACAAGGTACAGTAACTATAGAATATATAAGTAAAGTCTTCTTTTGGCTTTCTTCCTTTCCTTTTAGACCTTTAGTCTTTTTTGTCTTTTCTGTCATTCTTTCCTTCTTTCCTTTTTAAACCTTGTGGCCATGCCCTCCTTCACAGCGACATCTCCCTCCAACCATGCAGGTCTCTTCACGCTGCGTGTGCCACCATCACCATCGTGGCGCAAGGAACGGCCGGCACCATATTTATCCTAGACGATTCACAAACAAACACGCACGATGTGCGGTGTGCGACAAATACCGATTAAACCTATTATATACGAACGACAAAGATCACATTTGTCAAGTTGTCATCAATTGTCCAGCATTTCACACCTATGGCTGCAAACAAAAAACATGCTACAGGTCCTCACGCCAAACACGATCTCGCACAATGGACTGACACGGTGAAAGCGGGGTCGAAGTACCAACTCTTATGGAAGGAAATAACATAGTGATCATTTGATCAGCTCTGACCGTACTTCAATGCCAGCGTTTGTTTCCAGCTTTGGGGAATACTGTGCCAAACATGTCAAGTGCCAAACATGTCCTTCTTCTTGTTCTCCTTACCTCCAAACTGAGCACGCTCATTTGGGGTGACCAGGCCGCCATGCTTGGTTGCTGCGTCCCGAGCGACTTTGCGTGAGTGATGCTGAGTCTCATCACCCACCAACTTTGGAAGGTCCTTCTTGGCAAACGGCATGGTAGGGCCACAGCCCGAACTTATGCTGTTTGCGTGCTATGAACCACAAAGCTCACGATATGATTGAATGTTTTGTTTAGCGGTTCAGGGTACTTGGGTTTGCAAAAACCATTTTCCATTGCCAAGAACTCAGGTCCACCCTGCCCATCAAACAATTGCTTCGACTCCCACACGTCACATGTCCCATTCGGGTAAAAGTCTTTCACACCATGGCCCATGAAAAAGTCTCTTGATCGTGGATGTGGTTCAAAGATCTGGAAACATGGACCCAGAACTACTCAGGTCCTCGTCTCTGATGAAACCAGGTTCAAACCCTTCACTACCATTCTTCAAAGCCTTCACCACCATTCTTCGACGGCCCTGTCCACATCGGTTGCGAACGAAGTCGAAGCCGACCAAGTCGAACGCGACACGTTGCGGGCTGAGCTCCAAGCTGGTCCTTCGCTTTGTGACCATTCCATCTCAGCCAGCACACGCTCAGTGGTTGACCCCACATCCACAGAAGTTTAGGTCAGGCAACCGCAGTTTGCCGTGCTGTTTGTTGCCTCGCCTTTTCCTAAGAACCTACTTGTTGGTCTTTTGAGCATGTGCCGTGATATGTACTACTACCAAGTCTTTTCCCAAGTCTGACACATGCATGAATCCATGGCACTTGCAAGAGCAGCTGCAACAGCATCGTGGTTGTTGAGCGGTTCTTAGTGGAGTGCATGTGGCAAAATTGCACCACTGGGCCACCACCTCCTGTGGATGCTTGCCTTTCATACTCAATTCACACTGGTAGATTGGACAGGACCCTGTCGTCTACCTCGTTTCTTAGCATCATTCGACCCAACGACACCGTCGAATGATCCACATGGATCCACATGGCCACTGTACCTCGCGTGGAAATGTGTGGAAATCCATTCGCCCCAGGCTCGGGCGCTGACTCCAAAGGATACCACCGTGGCGTTCACGAGATTCCCACGGACTGGCGCGCGTCGGGAAGTGATGGGATTCTGACTATCCAGGGGGAGGTGGGTGACAAAGGAGAACTTTGAGGTGTAAACACCAGCACTTGGGCACCATGGACTCCGCATGATTGAAATTACTGGATGGCCTAAGAGTTGAGTCTGTTCAAGGTTTCCTCACTGAGATGATTCAGGACTGCATTGAAAAACAAGATGATTCCCGCATGCATCTAGAGCACGTTGTATGAACCATTAACAAGACGTGCTAATGATGTGCTATTTATGCTATTTACATATACCGTGGTTGTCAGAGTAGATGGCACAGACCCAGTCAAACCCCTATATATGTCTTTTAGATGGGGGCTTATTCTTTGACCATCCTTTAGTGGGTCCATTGTGCCGAACCCACTCCGAACCCGTTTGTCCATTCTCGGTTTTCCAACCGTCCAAACGGACCCGCCGCCTTCGGTCTTTCGCGCCGGCTTGAAGCTGTCCCTTGGTCCCGCGGGATGGCTTCAAGCGTGGAGGGCGGAGTCGACGACGAAAAAGCGTCGACTAAACGATCGAAACATGCGAACCGCAGTGGTGCAAACTCTTCACTCTAGGACTCTAGAGTTTGGAAGCCCAACTTTCTGCAACTGTCCCCCAAATCACCTTGAATCTCTTGGTTCAATTTTCTGTGAGGAAATACATGGCAACACCTTCGGCAAAGCCACAGAATTATCTGCTGTGATGATCTCTCTCGGAGCTTGTTGCTTGATCTAAGTTCTTATTGATTCTTGCTTTACCAGCCAATCTCTGAATATCTCTGAATCTGGGTTAGTGTTTATACCGCCTTCTTGTTTGACCTCGTTGACATAGATAACCTCTGAACATCCAAAGACCAGGACCTGCCAGCGGCACCAAGGCCCGGGAGACCCCCGGTGACCGGGTGTCGAACGGCTCAAACACACCATGGATCACGATGTAGACCTCGACACGAGCGACACGGGTTCGCTCCGTGTCGGTTCCGACTCCCGGCTGGATGAATGGCGAACGAGCCAGTGGATGGCTTTGATCCAAGTGGCTTGGGACCCGAGTCATAAGAAAGTGTCGATGTGATCAACAGATCCTCCCAAAAACGAGAAGACATCCCATGATCTGCAGAATATCACCGGAAAAAGGAGCTCTCAAAGGGCCCTGCTGTGGGTTGGCCCTGGTGCCGTGTTATTCTGCGCGCGGCTGAAACGCGGCTGATCGGAGATCCGATTCGCCGAGGGACCGTTGAGTGCTTTACTGAGTGCTTGACTGATGCCAACTCATCATCCTTCTGGAAGACCGTTGCCTTGGAGGCTGAAGTAGAAGGCTAGGAATCCAGAATGTCCTGAATGACAGAATGTCCAAGTGGCAGAATCACAGTCCAGGCTTGTCTGATCAACATCTCTGCTTCAGAGGTTTCAAGTTGCTCGATCTCAGATGTGATGTTGGACTGCGTGTTGAGGCAAAGGCCTTCCTTTGGGCTGAGTGCTCAGACTGAAGCTCAGTTAGTCAGACCTTTGGACAGTGTATGTGTATATGTTTGCTTTGTGGAAGGGTCAGGTTGTTGCTGTGGCAAACTCTGGACAGGGAACAGTTGCCCTCTTGCCATGTTATAATATACTACAATAACATATATATAAATATAATAACATACTGATTAACTTATAGACAGTTCATTGATAGAGCTTGTGCACTTCAGCACAGCATTGCTACATTCTGCAACATCATGCAACATCGGACGCTGAAAACTTACGAAGGCGGGTGACTCGTAGCCTCTTCATCCCTGATATGCTACAGTCCAGGAACTAGGCGGCCAACATCTGGGATCGTCGAGGTCATCCCCCTCGAGGCCTATGAGGGGGCGAAGCGGGCCTAAAGGGGGCGAAGCGGTTCTGAGCACATCACTCCAGGCTTGAAGTGCAGCACCTCGCACTTCCGCAAGGCATTGGCCAGCTGCTTGTCCGACTGACCGCAGAGCTGTTGCACACGCCAAAGTGCTCAGAAACGCAGGGGCTGGGAGTGAGACCCCAAACACGGTCCGGGAACACGTGAAGCGGACTTTGGGACTTTTGAACAGGAGCCCTTTTCGTAGCGTCCGATCGCTCCGTTCGTAGCGACGCCCTTGCTCCTAGTAGCTTCTTGCTCCTAGTAATATGGCCAGGAGCCCCTAGGTGGCGTCCTTGCTCACTTTGGGAGTTTTGAACGGATCTTGAAACCGGACCATCACCCCATCGGTGTCGGTCGGACCAGGACCCTTCCCTGTCGACTGCCGCGGTGCCCAAAACCAGTGTCCGCCCGCGTCCGCTTCGGCCTTGGAGAACCACCGGTTCGGGGCACCCGCTGTTCTCGGTGGTCCAAACCAAGTGTCACGAGCGGTTCGGTAGTCCCCCATGGAGGTGCCTCATTGCCCAGGCAAACCTGAGCAGTGAAGAAGCCATGGCTGCATGCATTTCCAGGCATAAGCATTTCTTGAATTGCACTGAACTTGATCTGTACTTGCACCAATAACAAAGACACACACACTACCGTGACTCGTTTTCTCAGCCCCATCACGACTACACTCAATTCTACCAGGACGGTTGATTACCCAGGGTCTTGGTGTCCCATTGGTGCTTGGTGCCAGCATGTTTATGGCCAAGTAACCCCAAACTATAATATAACTCTCTCTCTCTCTCTCTCTCCAGTCGTATATAAATGTATGTATGATTATATATGTACCGTGTTGGGCGTGCCATTTGGACATATTGAATCTTTGAATATCTTCGTCACTCTTCACGCCATGGGTTCAGGACAGGATCTAGGGTAGCGATGGCCAACCTAATAGCAATGGCCTCCGGGCCCCTAGTAGCGATGGCTATATAGATTCGAACACGTCAACTGCACTGGAAGGAAACGCCGGGGGAACACTGCGACGGCCGACTGCCGGTGTGGCCAAGCGAACACCGACTGCAGACTGCGTCGCGATCCGACCGAACATGGCGGTGTTGGGGTCGGCGGGACAAAATGGAGTTGTTCAAACACCCACCAAATGTCTTCTCATGTTCTTGTTGCTATGGGTGAATTCTGTCAGGCTACAGGATCTTGGCCAGAGTTGCTCCCAATTTCTATCTCGGCCCAAAAATCCAGTGATTACCTGTGCGCACCGACCAACCCCCTTGCAAACCTGAAGTACCAAAAACACAGCGAGTTCTAGTTCTGGCAGTGCAGTGGAGTTGAATCTGCGCAGTGAATTCTTGGCGCTGCCAACATGCGCTTCGCTCCCATAACATCTATGGGTATGTCCTCGTGGGAATCTGTAATTAGGACGACGCAGCATGCAATCTTCCAGGGACCATGAACACTCATCAATTCAATTTGTCCAGTTGCACAGTTGTCTAGTTTGCCAAGTGTACTCAATCAATTCAATCATCCCAAATAGGAAGAGAAAAAGCATCTAAAACCTTGCTACCCTCTTGCCAGCGCGAGTCTGGGGAAGAGGTTCGTTTCTGCGATACAAACCAAGGCACACTCTTCAGCAGCCACATGTTCAAGGCATTGTGCATCTGCCTGGGTGCCGAGTAGCAAGACTTGAAGCCCTTTGGGCATCTTTTGGGTACTTGAAAGCGATGTTTGGGTCATTCTTGATGCCAAACATCTCAAAGGACAAGATCCAGTGATCCACAAACTCTGATACAGTGTCACACAAACATCACATGCGTTTCAAAAACAAACCGCAGCTTTGCGTGACCAAGCTCACCCACAAGCGGCGTCTCGCCACAAAATCAAACGGAAGCTTTTGGGGCTTTCAAGCACCACCCACTTGACAAGAACTTCCCACACTACTCTCCATTTCCCATGCCCGGGTCTCTGCGCAGTATCCTAAGAACTCTATCAATGGGCCAGGTGCGAAAAACCATTCCTGCAACCAAAATCTCTGATGCTGACTCCTCTGCACAATCAAGTGAACTCAACTCAAAGCGATGTGTTACAGGATGTCACTGAACAACAGGATACTTGAATCTCTAGGCGTCTATGGCTCAAATCTTCTTGAATTGGGGATTGGCACCCGCATCTGAGGGGGGTAGAGGACGCTACTAGGAGCAAAGGGCATCGCTACGAACGGAGCGATCGGACGCTACGAACGGGGCTCCTGGCCTTACTAACGCTACGAACGGAGTTTTTTCTTGGCCACATCGACTTGGTCTTCTCGGATCCCCATGGTGATCCATATTCCAAAGGATTTGATGCACTGCCAAGTGCAGACAGACTGGCCGCTGTTCATTCAATGCATCCAGCTCAGGGTTGTGCCTCTCCATGGCTTCCTGCTCGCCAGTTCCAGCAGCTGCCAGAATGTCCTGGCTTGCCAGTTCCAGCCATTCTTATGCGTGATCTTATCTTCAAGTCACTTACTGTAAAGGGTCGTGTTGGTTTTCTTGAACATGTGATCTTGTG